TAGAACTCTGTAATCTTTCTATTTACTTGTTTTATCTATCTATCTATCTATCTATCTATCTATCTACTTATTTACTTGTTTTATATATCTATCTACCTATCTATTCTTATCTACTTGTTTTCTTTTTGTTTATTTAAAAAAAAAATAATTTGACAATCTAACACTAGCTCTATCTATTCTATCTCTTTTCTATCGACTTTCTTATTTTGTTTATTTATTATATATATATAAAAAAAAAACTTATCACACATATTTTGTTGCTGTATTGTTGTTTTGATTGCTTCTATTAGCCTCATTTGTAAGTCATTATCGAATAAGAGATTATTAAAATGATTAAATGTAAATGTAATGTTATAATTCATAATTCAGACTTTTTTTCTGGCAATTGTGAGTTTATATCTAGGATATCCAACTTTTTTTCCGACTTTTTTCAGTTTACATCTTGCAATTAGTAACTCACAATTGTGAGATATAAGGTCGCAATTCTGAGGGAAAATTCGTGATGGAAATATGCTTCCATACTTTTCAGATACTTTGTCATTGCATCAGCATTATCGTTTTTTTTTCTTTTTTGAGAAGTATTTCAGTATTTCAACAATTATGTTGAAATCATTCAGAACAACATATTTTTTTGGCGTAATCAACATAAAACATTGTTTATGCCACAAAGTAAGTTCCTCTAACTCTGTGTAATTTTTTTGGTCCAACATCATTTCATTAGACTTGAAAAACTCAAAAGTTTGATGCAAAACTGCAAAATTAGAGTGCAGTATAACTGTAACTGGGGAGGCAATGAAGGGTGGGTCACTGAATTGCATATTTTTTTCTGACCCAGGCTGGGCAATGCTATCCCACAGAGTTAAGCTCCAACCCTAATCAAATACACCTGTCTGTAAAGTACACTTAATTGCATAACAAAGACTTACACTGAATGGGAGGGCTCTCTTTGACTTGGGACACCTATAACACACCCAAAACAGCATCAACCACCCAGCAACTCCATAAAACTCTCTGCACCACAATATCATGGAGGTATAGATAGGTTGTTTTGACTTGAATGCAAACTCCATATGCTGGCAGCAAGTTTAGCACCAACAAGCACGGTTGACATTTTCTTCAAAAAATGTCAACATCTAGTTTATAATTTATTATTCAAACACAATAACTGTTTCCAGATACTTTCTGGAAAGTCCGTGCTTGTAGGCCCTTTTGGTTCCCATTCCCGCTTTAATAATTAATCAGTCTGACATATACAGCAGCAGTCTGTTCTTACACAAGACCTCTTCTGATAATCGCTCAGGGCCCGTGGCGGCTCACTGCGAACCACGTGTTTTCAGTATTTCTTCATGCGCAACTGCTACATGCATGTTTTCAAAAGTGTTGTTCAGTTGTGCTGGTTGATCACATGCCCGTCTTATGTCTTCTCCACACTCTGACAATGGCCCTAACAGCTTGTTGTTATACAATGTTGGTGGAGATATTGAGTAACACGGGAGCTGACGTCCCACACAACACATGTCTGGGCGTTAGGTGTTGGTGGTGGTACAGGCTGGAGGCGTGAGCGTGTGGTCATTATCGTGTAATCAAATTCATGTGTGGTGTGATATCACTATTTAATGCCGCCGACTCACTGATGTTGAGTGGAAAGTCTTGTCAATGCTTACACTATAAGAAACTGACTGTGAAATTCACAGTAATTAACTGGCAGCAAGTGAAAAGTAACTTACTGTATAAAAAGCACAGTAATTAACTGGCAGCAAGTGACAAGTAACTTACTGTATAAAAAGCACAGTAATTAACTGTCAGCTAGTGACAAGTAACTTACTGTAGAAAAAATAACCATATTTTCGCTGTTTTCATTTACAGTAGCAACCATGTAACTGTAAAGTAAAACTCACTAATTTGCAAGTGCAACCTTTTTTTTTTGTTTTGCCTTTTTGTGCTTATTACACAGGACAGTGTAGCGATTGGTGGGGAATGTGATCGGCAAAGGACCACAGTTGCACTATATGTCAGTGCGCTAACCACTAGACTATCGGTACCGACAGGTTCCATTGCTGTTTAGTTGTATTGGTTCAGCCCAAAAAAAAAACAAAAAAAAAAGAATATGAAATAAATAGTGCATGTTGCACGATTTAAATATAAATATTCATTTATCAACAGTCACAGTTAACTGCTCATCACTATAACAAGCTTCATTTATCATTCTTCCCTTATTGCTAGATGTGCTGAAAACAATAAAATCTTGATGACCTTCTGGTCATTTTTTGTATTTATTTTTTATTAAAGAATACATTTGCTTCCTGTATTCTCTATTCAAACCTAAAATGTAATTGAATTACAGTGAGGTCAAATTAAATGCAGTCATTGGCTGGAAACCCAGCTGCCAGTGTAGGCTACT